AGTCCAGTCCAGTCCAGTCCAGTCCATGTTTTACAGATTTTTTTCAGGCCAGTCCAGTGCAGTTCAGTCCAGTCCAGTCCAGTCCAGTCAATGTTTTACAATATGCCCATTTTCACACACATGTAAAGACTGAAAACATTGGTAAACTAGCTCTTATAGTAGATGAAGCGTGGAATTTTATTCAAGAAGAGTTTTTCTTTTGTATTACTGAAATAAAAAAGATCATTTGTTCCGCTATTTGCCTGAAGTCTGCAGACTCTAGTCATATTTCCTTTAGCTTAATTCTTATCCAAAATTATTGCATGCTAGGATGATTTTTGTCAAGCAGAAAAATGATTTTGTTTGATTTTGTTTTTATTGTTAACATCGAGTTCTGAAGTAGAGCACGGTGCCTTCATGTTCCCCTTAAGCCCCGTTTACACTGGCGATTTTTGCGGCGATTTTTGCTGCGTTTTGTGGCAATTTTCGGAAATATAAAATGTTTTGTCTCATCCGTCAAAAGAGACATTCGTCTAGGAAAATCTTGGTATTCTGAATAAAACTTTACAAGTAAATTCTTTACCATTATTTATTATGGACAGGATCGCCGAAAAAATCGCAGTAAAAATCGCCGCAAAACTCGCTAGTGTAAACTGGGTATTAGCTTCTTTTCTAATGTGAATGCATGCTAGCTTGATTTAGGGTGATTTTTTCAACTCGACTCGATTAATACTCCGGCCTTCCACTAAGGTTTGTTCGACCATTAAGTTCTGTTATCTAATGTGGCTTGAACTGGTAAGGGGATTTTTTTCAACTTTTCGACTAATTCCTACGAAACTATTGATGAAATATTATCAAGTTTTGTTGCACCGTCTTCCAAAAACCATCTTTTTCACGAGTGTTCAAAAGTCACAGATAAATTGAAAAAAAAAACAAACAGTATCGCTACTTCAGTGAATCAAACACTCTCTTTCTTTAAATCTCTTCAAGGCTTCAGTTAGAAATATGTACTCAGGAGATAGAGATTTTTCGTAAGGGGATCAGATTTTGTACCAAAGATTTTGGGTTCGTTCTAACACGTGGTTTGGGCGTCTAGTCGATCAGCACTGTTTTCCAATTTTTCAGCGACACAGTAAGGCATTTTAATTTTTCTCAAGGCGAACGAGAGTCAAAACCATTTAAAACAGAACCCTGGTGTTAATAAAGCAGATTAGAATTAAATCTCAATGCCAATTTATGAGATATTTTTAGATTGATTACAAGATACTGCCTACCATGTTGTCAGCGATGGCAGTTTATCGCAGTGGTCATGTCTAAGCTTCTCTTGATCATAAAACAATTTAATATTTACTTAGTTCACTGACTTGGAAATAATTTTTTGACCTCGATCCGTATTTTCTCTTTTTATTAAAATAATAATTCTAGGGTTTTTGTTTTGAAAGAACCGAACACTATTTGAAGTATTGAGCATAGACGGATATGCATTAATCCTGCAGTATCTTGCACGAATACATCTGTCAGTATATTCGCTCAGTGTTTGCCATTTTCTTTACAGCTGAATTCACAGTTCGACATACCGTACAATATTGTGTATCACTGATACAATTATCTTCTAAAKCTACTCATTATTTATCGCTATTAACTATGTTCGTCGCGGATAGGAAGTACAAATAGTCCCAATTTCCCGATCGTTGACAAGTCACTTGAGAAAGAAAGGGGTTGATAACGAATACTTAGAACTAGTAATCGTGCTAAAACTAGTCAATCAAAACTAGTTCTCGTATGAATTGACTATAAATTTCCATTCATCTTTCTCGGAATAACATTACGCAGAATTTTGCATACAACTTTTGCCAAATTTAACGACACAGAAAAGCATACTCATTTATTTGAGAGAGCCAGGTTTTCTATGTGCTTCAGTGGTTAAATAAAGTTTTGTTTTTTTTTAATCCGGATTGACTGACAAGACGTCTTCATCAGTCAAATTCTAGTGGCTCACTTTTGATGAGCTGAGCAATAAAAAAACTTGCCTCAATAATATCCTTAACTAATTCAATATTTACCGTGTATTCTTATTGAATATTGACTTTTCTCACGAAGTAAATGAATTTATAGCCTTAATGTCACTCAGATAGACTTTTCGAATAGAACGTTTCCTGTTCTTTCAAGATTAATTTAATGTAGGAGATTATGATATTTCCGGTCGACTCCTAGCGCCATGACTCACAAGAACATGAACGTGCTTTCCGTTTTCTCGTACTTTTTGTTCTTCCTGGTAAGTTTGACAATTACCAGGAATGAACAGGAATGACTGACTTTGAGCCATCGAAGAAAAAGAGGTCTTACCCAATAGATTTGAAAATTCCTTAGGAAAAAATATCACAAAATGTGTATATGGCAGTCTATTAGATAAAATACATTAGATATTATTAGGCATTATTGGATGGCTCATTTAGATATTACGACGCAATAGCATAAAGCTTTAGATGATTGTCATAATCATTATGTTATTCCTCAAAGCCTTAATGTTGGCTGTCAGAAAATTATCTAATCTCTCACAGTGTTCTGAAGTTTTCTTAAAGACCCCATTAAAGTTAATAGGCCACGTTCCAGATATTAAAATCCTAGCACCATAATGAGGCTCTATGGAATAAATTGTTCAACATTGCATTAAGCTTAAAAGGTTCAGTATATATAGTGATAACATTGTTGAGTAGAACTGACTGGCATTTCTACCCAAATTTTCTTAGCTTTTTCTTTTCGAAAGATAGGCCGGTAAAACATTATCTACCAATGAATGTATTTGATGAGCCATGTATTGCGTACGTACGCGGTGGCCAATCTTCAAGCACCCGCAATTCTCACGTGACATCCGAACTGAAGCTGCCCGTCAGATGAATTGCCAAGGTCAACCCATCATGAAAAACAAATACTAATACACGGCCATTAAACAAAGAAATGATACTGTAGGGAATAACACGAGGTCTGAAATAGGAATACATTACACCATCTCAAATGAGCTCCATCAAACCTCTTATATAGAATGTCCTCTGCTGCAGCAACGACTTGAGGTGATATGGCACCGTGTAAAATCCTTCCCCTGTTTCCGGGCCCTGTTTGGGGTCTGGCGAAGGCTTTAGGAATATTAGGGGAATTAACTATTAAGGATCAGGATGGCGATAGGCACAATTTTGGGGGAGTCCAGTTTCACATGTAACCTCGTAAATTCCTATTCAAGATGCATATTAGTCATCGGTAGTGTATGTTGTCTTTCGTGTAATGTTTTGAGTCTCTTTTACTTTACCATTAACGTCTTATTTACGTCTTGAATAAACTATGTATGTATGAAATAGCTGTATATAATCAGTAAAGGATAGTTTGACAAAATAGATTTAGAGATAATGGATAACAGGCAAAATTATCAGTAGTCTGAAAGTTAAATAATTTAAGCTTATATTGGCAATCTTTCACTCACCTGCTTTTCCTTCGTTTCATTTGCAAACTAAACAGCGGCTAGAAACAGAAGCGACATGCGCAAATCAAGTTCAACACAGGAAGCCCAAACTAAACTTCATCCGCCATGTTTTCACTATTACTTGTTATGGGATGCCTGTGGTATAGATCTTTCGATTGCTGCCAGGCAGGCTGTCGTGTGCATAATGAAAGACCCGTGGAGACTTAAATTAGACATGTTTTCTCATTACAGTTAGACAACTTGTCTTTCTCTTGAGAATAAAATTCCGAGTTCTATCCATATTCATGCGGACTTCTCATTATTACTCGATTCATGTTTCCCCATTACCGACCACGTGTCATTTTTTTGGGAATAAAATTTCCCACAGGTAGTGGTGGGGGAAAAATCCTTAAAACGGGCTAAATTCAAAAAATAACCACACAGAGCGAAAGAAGTGCTATTTCTCAATGATCGGGTAAATTTCAAGGCTTTATTTCACGTTTCAATGATTTTATTGACATTTTTGATGAATCCCCATACATATATTTCCTCATAACATGACACCACAGAAACCAAGCTTGGGCTACCTGTGTTCTATCCATAGACGCCTTGCATGTGACGTCAAAGGAGCTCATTTGGAGGACAAAACAAAAGAATTTCAATCTTCGGAGAATTGGAAAACTACTGTTTTGTCCTCCAAATTGACCTGCATTCCGACGTGCTGCAAGGGGACTATTAATGTGTCTTCTCATTCCACAACCTAGGAAATAACAAGTGGTCTGAAATGGGAAAACATGTAGATTATTGAAAATATCTATTGACGTACCAGACAAAATTGTCTCTCCTCAGTATGATATTCATATTATTTTTATTAGTCTTTTCAAACACTACTAGTATCTTCATTTACCAATATTATATCTAGTAACGACACTTATACTCTAAATTCATTCTAATTTACATTTGTAACAATTATAATTCTATTTCATCTTAATGATTATTTTTTTAGGCTTTTGCCAGAATTACTGAAACCAAAAAAGGTTTCTAATGATCAATTCATATCTAATTCAATTCTCGAAGATTTATCACGGCACAATTATTTATAATATTTTCAAGAATCCCCGATCGTTTCCAGGCCCTTGCTGATTTATAAGCCGAGTGGGACCTGGGAACACGGGTGATTTCAGAGCCTTAAAACCAGAAAGGCAATATATTACCCATAATTTTTTCAAGTTAAGGAGGTTTTAAATGAGTATGACCAAATTTTCATGAAGTTTAACATATAGAAATTCTTAATCTAGGAATTAATTGGCTAAAAGTTATCAAAACTAAAGTGATATTTTTGACCCAACTACTTTATATTGATCTTTTTCTTTTCTTCCAGTAGTGAGATTATACGCTTACGCAATAATTCCAATGAATTCTCATCTACTGGAATCAATGAATTAAACTAGTTACTCTGCGAAATAATGTTTCGAACGCTGCAAAATCGATGGAATAAATTTTATAACCACGTAAAACTGACGATTTTGAACTCGTTCGAAAAATTAAGCCAAGTTTTCTGAATAAACTGAATTTTTATCATTCGGATTGGCGGGGCGGTTGATTTGTTAACTTTCATGATATTGGTCAACTTTCTTTTAAATATATAAATGGAGTTTTTATATATAGTTGTTGGTTTGTCAAATAAAGTATCTTATTTACAGCATAAGAGTTGCTCTATACATAAGCAAACTTTCTCAATAAATAAAAGATCGATAAAATCTTTAAACTCTTAGCTTTCTTTTTTTATTTTTTTTTATGCACTAGTCAAGTAGGTTCCGCTATTTTAAACTTTGGCTACAGATTAAAAAGGACTTGGTTCCCCATTAAATTCAAACGATTAAACTTGAAAGTTACTACTACGCATGAGCTGACGTTTGGCTTGTTTGCCGTTTTAGCTCTAAGACTGCTGGCTACCTCTAATCTAAGACAGCGGGCTCTAAGTAATGAAGGAGTAAAGATTTTTAAGGCTGAACCTTCGGAATCAATGAAGAATTTCTTTTCTATTTTTATCTTGGCATCACATCATCTACGTGACTTAGAGAACCAATACGGAAAGATAAATTTATCGTCTGGTCTAACTCGTGAATATAAAACAGCATTAGATGAATATCTGACCGCAAACACGTAGACCAAGCGACGTGCGGTATGCAAAGGACAGAGACGCCGCCCGCCATTTTAACTCGCTACATCCGACGGAAACCAATATTTCTAATTAAATAAACTTGTAAAAGCACAGTGGCGGCTTACGGGGATAGCACTGAATTATATTACAAAACATAAAATATTAACAAAATAAACAACATTTACACTTAATTCCTGCGTTTAAAAAATAATTTTCTCGACAGCTTCGTTATCACTTTTTTTTTTAGCAAGGACTGCGTTTTTTTGGTAAGAAGTCTATTTTACCATTCTAGCCAAGATTAGTCATGTCTCGGAGCCAGCCACCTAGGATTTTAAATGGGTTTGATTATCAGAAATGCCGGAGCGAGAATGCAATAACCTCTGGGCCCCAGGGTACCTACCTTCTTGAAACGAGATAAAGTACAGCGCAGTTTAAGTTAAGGATGAAGTCATTAAGGGATTTTATTTATCGAAAGACCTTTAGTCTGCCTGAAAGAAGAGTAGTTAAACGTGCCCGAAATCGCAGGTCCTTCTCCTTGTATCTCCAACTTTTGACCTTTGTTTCTTTGTTTATCTGAACTGGTTCGTTTGAGCTGCTTGTGACGTGACTTGGATGGTCTCGTGGGAAGCCCAAAGCATCCTCGACGAATAATCAGACGAGAGTTGCCCAAAGCTGGCCGCGAGATGGCGTTGGTTGACAGGTCATTTAGATGGACTGCGTAACCTTCTTTTAGGAACTAGTAATCACAAGATAGAAAGAAAAGAAARATGAAATACTTTAGGGACAGAGATAGTTAAGGAAAGAGGAAGAAAGGGTGTTAGAGAAGGAGAGAAACGGATGGAAGAAAAGTAAAGAAATGCCTAAAATGGTACCAAATTTTGAAAACGCGCAAAGAAAAATTGTAATTTGAAGGAATTAAGGAAGGATCTCAACATAACACATCCCGCGTACACGATTATTTTCTTTACTACCCCTCCCCCATATCCCCCTTCATATACACACACGGCACAGATATTACGAAGCACTCGTTTCTGATTGGTTCATTAAATTATTATTCCCATGCGCTTTCCCTATCCACAGGCACCCCAAACCAGCCCTTAATTACCTGAGCTTGTTTTTCGTACTTCCTGACATGATGTTTGGCGACACAGAAGATTTGTTGTGGTTTTAATCCCATGTGAGAGTAGACAGATATGTCCTTAACTGATCCATACGCACAGTGGACGATCACTTGACTCTGTAAAAATACAAAATATACAGAAGTAAGAGTGCTGGGGATCCGGGTAACAACATTTGTCGCATCCCACCTCTGAGGTACTCGATTCAGTACTGGGACCTCGCGCGCTTCAAGTGAGCTGAGTTCGGTAGTTAATCATTGCTTCACGAAAACCATTTGCTCCTAAAACGTCTCTCTTCATGATGGGGTTACTGTGGTTTTGGGCAGGAGCTTTTGGCGGCATAATGCGCGCGCGCCCTCGCAGTACTCTAGGACTCTCGCTGCGCGTTTGGTCGTTAACGTACAGTACTGACTTACATGAGACACATAAGGTACGACAGCAACGTTTGACCGAATAAACTGACCGAATAATTTCGTCCAATCAAACTTATAGTCCCCTACACAGTTCCCCGCGCCATCTTGAAAGGTAGCCGTGCCTTTGCATTGAAGCGAGACGAACGGTGAGCTTGCAATGATACAGACATGTGAATAATTGTCCAAGGTGTTAAAAAAGGTCTCTATCATTACAAGCTCACCGTTCGTCTCGCTTCAATGCAAAGGCACGGCTACCTTTCAAGATGGGGCAGGGAACTGTGAAAGGGACTATTAAGTAGTTACGGCTGCGGCAAGAAACGGTACTTCTATGCTAGAACTACGTATTGTTTTCCACTCGTTTGGAAACAGCTTTGACATTGAATTAAAAAAAACCGCGAGTGTTGTGTGGAGTTATGAACGATGCCGTGATTAGCAGAAGAGAGAAGCGTTAGAAGTACGACGCGTAGCTTTCATAAAATACAAATGAAGAAATAGAAAGTACGAGCGTTGCTGTGTGACCTCGTGAACCAGACGCTCTCATTCAATTAGAACGCGACAGCTATCTTAGAGAATAATTCACCAACCTCGTTAATAATTTTGCGTAAAAATTCCGTTTTATGTTTCTGTATTTCTTTAGTGATCCCGTCACCAAACGCAACAAGACCGTAGGGAAAGTTATGCTCTGCCAGCCATGACATTACTTTATGCTTCTGGAAGTCAGGTCGACTTGTGACGTAGATAATGAGGTATCCCAGCTCCTGCCAATGCCTGGAAGAAGAAAAATGGAGATACCTATTTTAGATGTTATACGGAGTAGCTTTCGTGTGACTGTGTTAAGACCCGGTTACGGTAACAGAATTGACAACTGATTATTTAAACCAATCCAGCGCACGCAACTTTATTGCTTAACCAATCAGAGAGCATCAATTGGACACGGCACTGTAGAGGTCACGGCACGTCAGTCATACGAAATTTCCTCTAAGCGTGGCACACAGCAAGCTTGCGCACAGTCCTTTCCAGTCACAGTCTTTAGCTAGATTTTGGACGGGGTGTATTTTTTTTATCTCAGAAAACGTCACTCGCTTGATCATTATTTCTTTCTTTACTGGTAACACTTAGAAAGGGTCCTGAAGACTGGGATGCGTATCCCATATGAATTCACCTTTTTCCATACATCGGTTCACTGGTCAAACACAAAGCATTCAGTCGAGGCTGAAAGATTCAAGTTTGGAATAATCCTTTTAAAGTACCTTGGCGCCTCGCTTGAGCGCTTTGTGTTGGACCAGTGAACCGATGTATGGAAAATGGTGAATATCGTTACTCAAACATAAGAGAACCGCTTTATTCTAATCGTTTTCTATAACTAGATACCCACCTGACGACATCAACAGCTCCTGGCCTCACTTTAGGGTCTTTGCCCCTTATTGATACACTAGCAGTAAACGAACCATCAATACTGAATACTACTGACTCTGTTTTGGGTGGTAACACGGCTAGATTACTGTCTACCCATGTGTGGTCTCCTCTGGAGTAATAAAATAACAGGTGTGAATGGTAAGACGTACTCGTGAGGAATACAATTGCTACAAACTGCCGCAGCAACAATAGCAGTTTATCATCATATCATCATCAACAACAACACTAACTGCAACAGCAGCAGCAGCAACAGCGGCATTTTTAACAAACAGTAGCAACGACAACAACAGCAACAACAGCAGAAGCAATAACAGCAGCTCAAATCTAAACAACAGCAGCAACGACAGCAGCAACAACAGAAGCCAGCAACAACAGCAACAACAGCAACAACAGCAACAACAGCAACAACAGCAGCAACAACAACAGTAGCAACAATAAAAAGGCGCAAAGGCATGACTTTTGACTAATGTACAATCATAAGTGATTTTCTTCTCGGCTATGTTCAAGACTTTCTTAATCAATACATCGAGGAAACGATTAACAACAGCATCATTAACACGACTATTTTACCTGACAACCATCTTAAGAGGGAAAATACCGACAGGAAGCTGCTTATCGTCCTGTATCGTGTAGGATAGACGTCCACCACTTGTTGTTACCACTGTATCGAGCAGCACATACTCTCCTGAAGGGGGTTGCACCATGACATAAATATCGACCTGCGCAAAGAGAAATACAAAGCTGTCATCATGCTGTAAAACATAGCCAAGCGATGTAAGGTGATTATTTGTGATCCATATATATAACACACACATGCCATCCATGCCATTGGGTTCAAACGAAATCAAATCTGGTAAGGTGGACGTCAATTAAAAAACAACGGGCTTGCGATTATTTTCGCAAACTACGCTTTGACTGACTAGACGTCCGCCAGATTTGTTTTTTATTGGAGTGCTATTTCTCCATCTCTCGTTGTTTGTGCATAATTGAGTACGACTATAGCATTAAGATAAGATTCAAAATACCTTTTCGCCGCTCAGCGATACCATGTCCAGCGGTCCGTACATGAATCTAGCCGAGAGGACCTGGGGAGTGCCCTCCATAACCACTATATCATTAGCTCGATGATTGGAATTAAGATTCTGTAGGAAAAGCAATGTTTTATATAAAGACCTGTATAATACGGACACATTTTATATGAACACGTCCTTTGGTTCTGGGTGCACTCAAAGACCTCTTGCATGTGACGTCAAAGCAGCTCAATTTGGAGGGCAAAACAAAAGAATTTCAGTCTCCTGAGAATTGGAAACCTATTGTTATGTCCTCCAAATTGAGATGCATTCCGATATGCTGTAAGGGGCCTATCCCCGAGAGGTGTGGATGCAAGTATTGATATTTACCTTGATTTTAATGGCTGTTCTTCGCCTCAACCATTTTTCTCTTGGTTGTGAAGGAGAGAAGGTCATGCCTCGCTTACTGGGTGATGATACGGTAGATATGTCCCACTCACCACGGAGTATCTGTTGATTATCACCAGAAAACACTAAGATTAACTAAATTTGATTGTAAACTTTTTCATAGGAGGCGGGCATTCCTTGCCATGAGAATAAAAGGAAAAAAGAGGTGACCGCCATCTTGGATGATGTTACAAAAGACACCAAGAACAACTGTTTTGTTCAAGTCAACCAACATGGCGGCTGTGAAGTCATATGTCAAAAGCCATGGCAGCTATGTTGGTTGATATAAAAGAAGAGGCCTAACGAACTGTTAAAATGATCCATCAGCATATCCCTGCCTATGGTGGGATGAGGGTCACTCACACTTACCTTCACATATCACCATCTCCCCCTAACCAAATGCACCTTACAAATAAATTGCCAATGTGAAGTGGGCATCACAGGCATCACAGGCTCCCCAGGATCCTTCCCCCCTCCCCTCCCCACGGGTATAACCGTTGGATTTGTAGATTCTTGACTAGTTACCTGTCGGACAACAAAAGCAGCCACATCACTTGATTCCCAGTAACTGACATGAAAGAGCGGAGAAAGAACTGCAGTAGGAAACTGCTGTAGTCCTTCAGGACAATATAGAGCATAATCCAGCCGCTTGTTACCCCACCACGCGTATCCTGGAAATGAACCAAGACAAGAACATTTCATGAATTCCTCTTCTGTGTATGTAAAGTATAAAGCTACCATGCTTACTTGTTGGAAAATGCGGTTCTATTTGGGCTATCTGTGTAAGATAAGCCTGTATTTTGTATAATGGCATTACCTTGCACTGTTTGATCTTTCAAGAACAAAAGACATAACCGCCATCTTGGTGGATATAACAAAAGACACCAAGACCAAATCTTTTGTTCAAGTCATCCAACATGGCGGCTATGACGTCACATGCACAAGGACAAAAGGCATGGCCGCCATGTTGTTTGACATGACAAAAAAAGTAGCAAGACCAAAT